GTCATTACCATGTCATGGTGATCTTTTTCATATTAGATGTATCTGTCATATTTTAAATTTAATTGTTTAAAGTGCATTTACTGAAACTAAACTCATGATAGAAAATGTTAGAACAGTTGCTTATAAGCATAATGCTTTTGAACAAAGACTTAAAAGATGAAAATAATTTTGTAAAAAAAATTATAAGTCCAGACTAATTTCAAAAGATATTGACCATAGGTGGAATTCCACCTATGCAATGTTAAGTGTGGCAATAGAAGATAAAAAAATTATAAATGATTTTATAAATTATTATACACCTAGTTCTAGCTCTGGTAGTGCTTATAGAATAACTGAAGATGAATGGACAATTATATATAATTTAAATGAGATATTACAAGTTTTTAATGATGCTACAATGTTATTATCTGGCTGTTATTATCCAACTATTACTATAGCTGTTTTACAAATTTTAAATATTCAAAAAAAAATTGCCAAATATCATATGAATGTCACTTTTGGAGATATAATTTTTTAAATGGAGAGTAAATTTAATAAGTATTTTAGGCATATTCCTCATATTTTTGATTTGGTGTTCTTATTGATCCATGTTTGAAGGATATTGACCTTCGAAGTTTGTTATAATCATTGTATGGTGGACAGATTATAAACTTAGATGATGGATTCATCCTTACTGCTACTTCTCATCATTTAGTTATTAGAAATTATTTCCAAACCTTTTATGATGAGTATGCAGCTAGACATGGTGTAGCTGCACAACAGTCTACAGCTTCAGCGCCTTCGAGCTCAAGCCGAGGTAAGTGTAAGTTTTGATAGGTATGCAATGGTAGCTGAGCTAACTGGTGGATCTAGACTTGGATCATCATTAGAGGTTTTTAAAATAGATGAATATTTATCTGTTTTTTTAGTTAAATATCAAGGAAATGCTTTAGATATTTTGCAATGGTTGAGAGTATATGGATTAGTTTCATATCTTATACTTTTCACCATGATTCGTGACTTACTAAAAGTACAGGTTTCAATGGTAGCTTCGGAATCTGCCTTCAATACAGTAGGACGTTTGATCGACGACCACAAGATATGCTTAGATTCGTATACTGTACAAGCGGTAATGTGCTTACAAGATTAGTAGAGGTACGAGAAGCGAACACAACACATCGATCGGATGGCTGGAATTGAAGATAAATTTGAAGAGTTGGGACTAGCAGATAGATATAAAGATTAAACAATATTCATCAAATTATATTTTTTATTTCTTAGTTTTAAATTTGTAATGAATTATCTTTAAAACAGTTCCAAATGATAATGATATAGGTGAGTAGGTGTCAACCTAGTTGGGATGTACTTATCTATTATGATGCGACAAATTCCGAAATAAATTTATACTTGTAAAAGATTTATTAATTATTAATAAAGAAGTTTTTTATCATCTTTTATTTTTATAATTTTTTGTATTTGTAATTTATGTCATTTCAAGTTATTAATAATCTTATTGTTTTTTATTAGCATTTTTTGTAATTTTTTTTATATATATTTCAAAATTTAAAGAGATTTTTAAAATTTAAAAAAAAAATAAAAAAGTAAAAAATCTAGGCCGGTCCGGAGCCTGGCCCGTTCAGGCCCGAGCCCAGGCCCGGACCTGGCCTGGGGCAACTGGGCGGGCGTCTGGGCTCCTGTTTTGCCCGGCTCGGGCTGTTTTGCCCGACTCGGGCTCGATTTTTCGGGTCGGGCTGGCCCGGATGGACAGGCCTATACCCGGGTAGTCTTCATGTGTAGCTAGCATCTCTATTGTACTTGTGGATATGATCCACTACCGAGTCTTAAGTTGGGCTCTAGAGTCATACTACGCGCGTACTTGAATCCTATGAAATGCGAATTATAGAGTAATGTGTATTATTAATACGCATATATGATTTTCACCAGATACATATAAACAGTTATATGTATCGGTAAAATCAGGATGCTATGTGCTTAAGAAATGAATTCCAGAATTTTTTCCATAAGTTGACTTTTAGTCAACTGGTTGACTTTTTTGATCATCTGATGACTTCTTAGTTAAAGATTGAAAAATACTGAATACCGTATTTTTATGAAATATCGTATTAATAATAAATATTGTATTTATAAAAATACCGTATTAGTAATAATAATGTAGTATTTTCATTTATGAAATACACATTTTAATTATATCATGATTAATGAGTCATAGGATGAGTCATTAGGTGGTATGGTTTGAGAACATAGTTTTAAGCACATAGGTTTTGACTTTTAATAACTCATGGCATGACTCATAAGATGAGTCATTGTTTTTGATGACTCATGGTATGACTCATAGGATGAGTCATTGACATGTCGACATCTCTCCCTCTATAAATATTAGCACTCTCCTTCTTTGATAATTAATGAAAAAAATTTATTTTTTCATAAGAAAAGAAGAGAGTTCTACGTCCTACTATCCATTAGCAACCTAAAGTAAGAGGAAGTAGTAGGATTCAAAAACCCCAAGATGGATATCTTGCATTGTGTCTCAAGATGCCTCCAATTCCTTTCTTGTTCCCTTGAAGCTTTGGAGATTAACTACAAGGAGAACGAGCTAAGGGGTGTTCGATCTACCATCGAATCATGCTTCAAAAGTAAGCTTTTGTAACTCTTGGATGCTCTCTTTAATATAGGGATCATGTTAGATTTAATTTTGATGGTCCTGGTGTGGATTTCATGCTCTCTACATGCTTAGTATTTTCGTATTAAATTCTTCTGCTTCGTATTTTGCATTAAGCCTATTATTTCATCTTACTTTAGATTGCTAAAGGATAGTAGGAGGTAGTGCTTTCTTCTTTTCTTATGGAAAAAACAACTTTTTCATTAGTTATCAAAGAAGGGAGAGAGCTCATATTTATAGAGGAAGAGATGTCAACATGTTAATGACTTATCCTATGAGTCATGTCATGAGTCATCAAAAACAATGACTCATCCTATGAGTTATGTCATGAGTCATCAAAAGTCAAAACCTAAGTGTTTAAAACTATGTTCCCAAACCATACCACCTAATGACTCATCCTATGACTCATTAATCATGATATAATTAAAATGTGTATTTCATAAATAAAAATATCATATTATTATTACTAATACGGTATTTTTATAAATACGGTATTTATTATTAATATGGTATTTTATAAAAATACGGTATTCAGCATTTTTTCAATCTTTAACTAAAAAGTCATCAGATGATTAAAAAAGTCAACTTATGGGAAAAAAATCTGAAATTCATTTCTTAAGCACATAACATCTTGATTTTATCAATACATATAACTGTTTATATGTATCTGGTAAAAATCATATATGCGTATCAATAATACGCATCACTCTATAATTCGCATTTTATAGGATTTAAGTACGCGCGTGGTGTGACTTTAGGACCCAACTTAAGACTCGACAGTGGATCATATCCATAAGTACAATAGAGGTGCTAACTACACATGAAAACTATCCGGGTATAAGTTGTGATAAAGATCTGCAAGATGCTTACCCAATATTATTAGAACCACTCAGTGATAAATACTTTACAATCCGGTCTCTTCGTCAAACCATGTCAAATTATCGAGCCTATGATATGATAAACTGTCAAACCCTACTAGCTTGATTAGTGTTTGTTGATATTAAACTCATAACCTATAAGATTAAACAGTGTTTGTTGATATTAAACTCATAACCTATAAGATTAAACTGACACTCAGTTTATCTTATTCACCTCGGCCAAGGATTTTCAGGCTATAATTATATTAAACAATCTTATAACATCAACCCCCTATACTGAGAGAGACGAATCATATCTTGACATCTTAATATCTACACGTGTCTCGAGATGTACCCAACATGAACTTGTATGCACAACTCAATAAGAATTGTGATTAGGTTAAAGTCTAAGTACAACTATACTGACATATAAAATATTATATCACGTCTCAGGTCAAGAGACTACTTTGTACTATATCACTAGAGAACTTTAATTTGACAGTTAAGTATATTACCGACTAGATATTCTCGGTGAGTCGTTCAGTGAACTCATTCACTAATGAGCACCTGTATACATGTATCTTGATGTCTCAGCATCAATGATCTAAGAGATGGATCATCGTCCTTCAAAAGGACAAATAGAGTATACACTAGTCTTGTCAATATGATGATGTCATATCTCAACACTTCATTAACTAAGAACATTTTAGAATATACATTAGTGACCAACCAGATCTCTTTTTTATTACGATCACTATCGAAATTATGATAGTCTAGTATCATTCTAAGAATGTTATCTGTATTTTTAAAAACACCAGATAAATACTGACCAAAATAGCGTATTATTATTTTGAACAATGATGTTATATTAATATAGGTCCTATTATAATATACAATTATTACCTATAGGGCACCTATATTTAACAAACTCTCACTTGCACTATGATCAATCATTGTAGTATCTAATACCCAATAGCTCAACAAGTTTTTCAAATTGTGTGCGAGCAATTACCTTTGTGAATGGATCTGCTATGTTATCATTTGTGTCTACTCTTTTAATCTTGATCTCTTGACGATCAACTACCTCCCTGATCAAGTGATAATTACTTAGAATGTGTCTAGACTTTTAGTGAGACCGGGGTTCCTTTGTTAGAGCTATCGCAGCATTACTATCACAGTATAAAGGTACTGGATCTTTAATGGTGGGAACAACTTCGAGCCCTGAAAGGAACTTTCTCATCCAGACAGTTTCTGCTGTCCCCACTCAATGGACTTTCTCGCACTGTATTTCATGTTTTAAATTAATTAAAAGTATCAGCAATAAATGAAGGAAGAAAGAGAACTTCAATAAGAAAGTTACATTAGCCACAAAGAACATAACAAAATTTGCCTTTTTCCCCATTCAGCTTAATTTGAGTGTTTAGGATATCTAAGCCTAAAAATTTCCACGTCGAAATTGAAACGAGAGGGGGTTTGCTGTTTACATGTAATCGGCATCGGATTCGGCGTCGGATTCGTGGATGCCGATGAGGACGAGGAGCGCGCGCGATCCTCGACACGACATCCGGCCGTCGACTCGACGCTCTCGCCGACGCCACGCGCTGCAACACACGCCCTCATCCTCTTCTTCTTCCTGGCTGTTCCGCTGCCTGCCGGCTGCGGCGGCTGAAACGGCGGCGGTGCGAGGCGTCATCAGGTGACATGAAACAAGAGGCATCGCGCCCTGCGGGCGGAAAATTGCGGGCCTACAATCGAAATGCAGCCTTTAGTTTGCTTGATGGAATCTGGGCCCGGCCTTTAGCGTTTGGCTCGGCCGAGCTATGCGTGTTCTTGTTGAATGTCACTTTGCGGTGAGTGCTTTGTGTTTATTTTTTTTGGACAGTAAAGCGCGGTGGATTTTCAAAGCTTTGGATGTAAACAAGCTGCTTCTTTTGACGTTTGGGATTTCAATAAACTTTGTTGTTTCAAAATTAATTTTGAGATTTACCACTTAAATTATAAAAAAACTAAATATTGATTTTTTAGGATTTGTGAATCCTCTCTTTTGTTTGTCCTTTTTTTGGTGCATATAAGGGTTCGGATTACAAAAGTTTTTTGGGTTTTAAGATTCCATTAAACCAGTTTGTTTCACAACAATTTTAGGATATTGAAATCCCCAAATAATAAAAAACTATCTATATCTTTTAGAATTGCTGAAATTCTACAATGAGAGGGATAGTTAGGTTGGGATATGATGTATTAATGCTTCAATAAATATAAAGATTTAAATTACTAAGATTAACTATATCTATATATCAAATATATATAATAAATAATATTAAAATAATTACACTCTATTCCTCTATAATAATTAGGAGGACCCTAAGAACCACTGTTCATGCATAGTAAAATGCTGCAAGTCAAATACTGTAGCAACTATATATACACTATAGATACAAATATATACTTAGTACTAGTATATATAGATATATAACTATAATATATATATATATAATATATCATATATATATATATATAGTATTATAATATATATATTACCATATATATTATATATATTACATATATATAATATCATATTATTTATAATATAGTAATATATATTATACTATATAATATATGATATATACTATACTATATATAATATATATAATTTTTACTATAATATAATATATATAGAGCGCAAAACCTTGTGGTCAACTTAAGTGCGAAACGTCCACTAAGTTTCTTTAGTCCATTGATGATCACTTGATCTGAGACTACATTGTGGATGATCCTCCTACCGCGTTGAAAACTTGATACTACATCATTCTGATAAAACCCCAACCACACCAAATTTGCGTGTATGAATTCCTCATGCGTTGACCCTCCGTCGAGCATGTATAAAATTCTATTCATTCAAAACCGTAAAATTGATGACGAGGTGCGAATAATAGGGTCAAATACATGACGGCCGTTCACCTCAACATTTGACGTGTGTTTGGTGTGTGGTTTTAGAATACCTAGTAGATCAAGTTTAACGGAGCGGAATCATCACAATTGTAGCTCAATCAAGTGATTAATCACTTATGCTTACAGAAACTTACGGGACGTCCATCTTAAGTTGACATAAGTCCTCAAGAATATATAAATAATAATTCATATCCTATATATTATATTATATATACATAAATAATATAATATAGTAATTATATATACATATATAATGATTATATATAATAATATCATTATATAATATATTATATTATATCTGATAACTATAGTATATTATTTATTATATCATGATACGATATCATGTATCACTCGTTCCAGTGTTGCCTGCAGTAAATAATGTCTAGCATATATCGTACATATACTTATACCTATACTATATGTCTATATGATTATCTATACTATATATATATACTATATATATATATATACTATATATATATATATATTACTATATATAATATATACTATACTATATATATATACTAGTGAGTATATTATATATATTAGTAGTATAGTATATATATAATTATATATATAGTATTATAGTTATTATATATATAATATATATATATATATAATATATATATATATAGGAGGAACCTAAGAATCACTGTTCACAACTGTAGTAAATGCCTGAGTAAATTACCTCTATAGCCATTATCATATATTTATATTATATTCATATATTATATTAATAATATTATATATATATTATATATTAATTTATTTTAAAATTTTTATAATATTTCTATAGCATAAATATAATATATATTACATATCTATATATATATATTATACTACCAATGATATACTTATAATATAATCATATCATTATAAATTATTATAGCATTATATATATTATGTATATTACCATTTAATACTTATATAGCCATATATATTATATTAATATCTTATATTATATATAAGATATATCAATATATTAATACATATAATATATATTATATTTATATTATATAATCTACTATAATATGTACTATATACTATATATACTGTATATATATATATATATATATATAATAATAAATACTATATATAAACTACTATATATAATATCTATATATATAATATTATGAAGTATATATAGGCACGGAAAACAAAATCACTTCACTACTGTAGCTAAACTACCCCGTAGATACTATATATACTATAATCACGTTCATGCGTGTAGTAAATATATGCAGTAAATTACTATAGCAATTTAATATTATATATATACATATATACTATCATAAACTATATATATATACTATTACTAATATATATCAGTACTAGATATATATATATTATGAACTATATATATATATATTATAATATATATATATATATATTATATATATATATATATATATATTATATATATAGGAATAGTGGGTATACTTGGGCCCAAGGATCTTCTCTGGTAGTGATGTGCGACACATCTTGTCCCATACATCACACGCTTAGGAGTTGTGAGGCTCCCAATGTTCAAAGTGTATGTGATGTATGGCACCAAGAGTGTGTCCACACCACTTACCAAGGATGCCTTGGCCCAAGTATACCCATATTCGCTACATATATAATATATATATATATACTATATATATATATATATATATATATATATATATATATACTATATATATAATACTATTATATATAGTATATATATATATATATGTATACTAATATTATAATTATATCATTTATATGCTTAAATAGATATATATATATATATATATATATATATAGTATATATATTATATATATATATATATATATTATATATTATATATATTATTATATATATATATTAATATATATATATATAGGAGGAACCCAAGAATCACTGTTCATGCCTGTAGTAAATTTACAGTAAATTACTGTAGCATGAATATTTAAATATAATATTAATAGATATAAGTATTATCTAATGTATTATATTATAATATATAGATATATATATATGATATATGATATATTATAGTATATATATATAATATATATATCTTAATTATCTAATATACTATATATTATATAGATATATATATATAATATATATATAATAATATACCATTATATAATATATGTTGATTAAAATATTATACTATATTATAATATATAATTTAGTATTCCAAATCCGAAAATATTGATGAAACAAACAAAATATTACAAATTATAGTATTTCAAATCCCAAAATATTGATGAAACAAACATAATATTACAAATTTTGGTATTCCAAATCCCAAAATATTGATGAAACAAACAAAATTTTAGAGATCCCAAAACCCACAAAAAAATTTATGGATTTCAAATTCTATGGTGAAATCCATATCCATAAATTTTGGGATTTGAAACAAACACCCCCTTTGTGGCACTGATTTGTAGGAAAAATAACAAGTTAATTTCACAAAACCCCCATAATTTCTTTTTATCTTGTATACCACCTAACTTTAGCGGTCCCCCAAAATTCGCCTAAAGCTTGAACTTTTCTAACTTGATTCTCCCTACCTATAACTTGTAAATAACTGAAATTTCCATGGGAGGAAATACATTGCTTTTTAATAACAGAAGACAAACTTTGGATTAGTTTTCTCTAAATAACATTTTATTTATTTGCTAAATATAGGTAGGGCGGCTCCAATGAGAAAAGTATATGAAGTTTAGGGGTGTTTTGTGAGACACCACAAAATTAGGGGCTTTGTGTGACATATAAAAAGTTTCAGATATGTGCGAAAACGCCGCAAACATCTGGTGCGTTAATGGATAAACCCAAAAATAAATTATATCATGTACAAATAAATCATATATTGTACGTTAATAATGTTAAAGTTGTTATGATCATGAGCTAAATAACATTATCTTTTTCAATATTTTTACTTTTTTAGATTAGAATTAATTTTTAATATGTTCGAGAAATAAGCAATAAAGTTTTGGCATATAGAACTTTTAGAACTAAAGAGTTATTAGAGATTCGTGTCATATGAAACCATATCACCGTCACACTTGGCCGCTCTCTTTTTCCCACAAAACGCGAGAAGTAGCGCATCATCCAACGAGAGGACACACGAAAGGCGACAAATCGCATTCATTTCTTATCTTAGGGATCTATTATTAAGAGGCAATAATTATCTAGAAGTTATACTTTAGTACCCTATGTCGCATAGTGTTTTTTGAGATGTAGAGAAATCCGGTTCTTTCTAACTTTGGATTATTTATCTATAATATTTAAATGCCTTAGAATGTTTATTTGCTTGATTTTAAAAAAGAGGCCTTTTAAGTGCAATTTAGCCTCATTAGCTGAGCAAAATCACTCACATTTTTAATATGCTTCTCTCGGCTCGCC